AAGGTGTGTGAAATTCAGAGATTCGTTTTTATTGTGTGTCTATGAAAAATTTAACACTGAGAAAAAAAATTCATTCAAATTCAAAAAAATTCAAGTTCATTTACTAGAGAGAAGCATTTCTTTTTCCAAAATCATATTTTTCCAATCGAATCACTCCCAGGCAAGCCTGATTAGGTTTCAATTATGACAATTATGTTGTTCTAGAGGATGATTATGTTGAACATGACCTTCGCTGAACTTCTCCAATGATTTTTCATTTTGCCTAAATTTCTTATTTTCAATAGGGAAGAATTTCAATTAATTTTTTAATGTTTATGATTATTGAGGGCGTTCAGTCGACCTTTTAACTACCATGATCATCTTCAAGAGCAATATAATTGTCATAATTGAAACCTAATGAGAATTGCCAGGAAATGAATCGACTGGAGAAATATGGTATTGAAAAAATAAATACTTCTCTCAAGAATGCGAGTGCGAAGCACGAGTAATTTTTCCTGATAAACTTGACGACTTCCTTTGTGTGCAGGAAACCCGGAGGGAATTACACGATCCGAAATACTCAACTACAAATATTGGTATCATTCTGAAAAACAAAAATTGTGAAACCCTTTGATCTCCTCTGTTGCGTCACTAAATCATTTGTGCACTCTCCTTCCACGCGAGAGCACAAAAATAAACTGCAATTACAAATTTTTATAATCCATTTTGCCTTTCAACAGGTATGCAATCATGCTCCTGGCGGATTAATTCAAACGAGCCACTGGTAAAAAAAAACAGATACAGGCATCCCATTCAATATCAGTATTCAGCGTTTAATGCGGAAGAGCATGGGAAAAAACGTTGGACATTTGTCACATGTACGGGGGATTGTCGACGATTGAATGAAGGGTTATTGAAACTTTTTCCAGTGCTTTTATCCAAAAATTTCCCATTCCTGATGATCACACAACTGTAGCCATAAAATAAATCCCTGCCCAAAAAGAGCGTCCCCTCGAATATTTCAGAAAAGCCTTGAAATACCATAACTCCAGAATAAATTGACTGTAACCCCAATGATTGCGATGAGTATGGCGCACCCGTATTATAGTGCCTATCCACCGATAAATTTGGGGGCATTCTACTAGTAGAGGCACATTAACAATATGGATGAAAGCTCATGTAAGGTTATCATCACTGAAACCCATATGCGTAACCAATCAGGCCGCAATATTTTCCTGTCAATTCCATTTCGGAGAGGAGAGGAACGACGAGAGCTCATCTTGTCTCATCTCGAATGTGCGAGAGGAGGAAAAGGAAACTAAAAATTCGTGACTTTAAATTCTAGACAACCTAAGTAGCTACACTAAGAAAAAAAATTATTTTTGCCAAATATCCATTTACTTGAGAGAAGTATTCATTTTGTCAATTTCATATTTCTCCTGCCGAGTCATTCCCGATCAATTCTCATTAGGCTTCAATTGCGACAATTATATTGCTCTAGAAGATGATCATGTTAGCTGTGATCTTGAGTGAGCTCCCTCAATAATTATCAACATTNTCAATTCTCATTAGGCTTCAATTGTGACAATTATATTGCTCTAGAAGATGATCATGTTAGCTGTGATCTTGAGTGAGCTCCCTCAATAATTATCAACATTGAAAAATTAATCAAAATTCTTTCCCCTAGAAAATAAGAAATTTAGGAAAAATGAATAATTGTTGAAGGAGTTCTTCGAAGGTCATGTGCAGCATAGTCTTCCTCTAAAGCAACATGATTGTCATAATTGAAACCTAATCAGGCTTGTCTGGGAATAACTCGGATAAAAAAATTCAACTTTAAAAAAGTAAATACTTCTCTCAAGTAAATAGATATTTGGCAAAAATATATTTTTCATTGCTCAAGCCCAAAAAGGGCTCTTTTAGCGACGGTAGTTAAGCATGAGAAGTAGGTCTTTTTACCGTTGAGCAGTATAAAAGTGAGAAATGCACTACTTAGGAGTGAAAAAGTGAGAATTGCACTCCTTAGGACTGAAAAACGTGTGGCGCCACCCCAGCGTTAATGTACCAAAATATAAAACTACATATAAAAACTGATAAATTCAGCCAGTGAATCCCCTTCATTATCTTCAAAATTGTTAAATTTTAAATTTGAAAATACACCTGAAAATTAAAATGAAAAATAAATTATTAAAAAATCTTAATTTTGATAATAATAATATTAGAAATATCATTTCATAGAAAATTTTTTATTGAAACTCTGAAATAAACTACAACGTAAACGCAAGAATAATACTCATAGTTTAAATAATAAAATCTAACAAAACAATCAGTTATGCCCATCTATCTCAACTAAGATCTCGAGATTCACTTATTTTCCTTATTTTCTTTATCAAATACTTTAAAATTTGAGCAATTGTAAAAATTGAGATTGATATTTGGATGGGAACGTAGAAGTTGATTCAACTGTAGATTTGGAGCAGGATCTGGTGAGACATCATGAAGTGGAATTGGTGAGATGTCGTTGATCACAGGTTGGGGAATACGATTACAGAGAGATGATGGTGATTTGTTGGCTTCTCTTGGAGTTGTTGTTCCCCGGCTGTGGCGGGGAAATTTAAATGCATTTGATTTTTTTTTTCTTTTGCAATTTGTTTTTTCTTCAGTGGGGGGGGCTCCGCCCCCCCCAACCCCCCCCGCCGGGGGCTGCGCCCCCTGGACCCCGCTCCACGCCCCCACCCCCAACCCCCACGGGCTTTTCGCAATAAAAAATAGTATACGCGCTTCGGCGTCGAGTGCTGAATTCAACGCTGGTGGAGTACAGGCGTACGAGGCACGTGAGTCGGAGACGAGGCCGCCGAAGGCGGCCGAGTGTTGAATTCAGCACTTCTCCGCCTTAGCACGTAATATACTATTTTTCTCAGTGTAATATGAATTTAAATTTCTTTGAGATACCTCATGTAATAATTATCGGTGCTCAGGTAGATGTACGGGACCTCCCATACCAGCTCCTCCCTTGAAGATGACAACGGAGAGAAATATTCAGTAAAAATTACGGAACAATTCACGTAATTCGCAATGGGGAATTGTTTTCCGGCAATTTTTATAGGAATGAAAGAGAAGAAATCTGAAACGTTCAGTGAATTTTCAGGTTCATCACCGAACAAAGTACGACATTGTCACATAACTTTTCCCGAAGAAGTAAAATCTTACAGAAACTTCCCGACTTATTATGCCTCCAAAATCAAAAATTCTTGAACGTTCAACAATTTTTATGGAGCTGGTGAGTTATTTCTACGTTCCGTTCCGTAAAATTTCTCAATTGTTGCAGAAAAAATACGGAACGATTTGTTGTCCCCACAGCCGTGAGTCATCAGACGAGTGGTTAATTTTTACGGAACAAATCGTAGAATTTACGTGGCGATTCGTACAATTTCAATTCCGACTCACACTTTTTATTGAATTTTTCTCTCCGCGTATATAATTTTGAAATTACAAATTCAATAAATCAAATAGATGCTCACAGGGATAGGGGAGAAATGAGTTCACAACATCGATTAAATTGTCATAGTGCGACGTTTCACTAAATATTTTAGCTTGATTAGGCTCTTGACGTTATCAATGCATGATCCTGAAGACTAACAATAGTGCAGGAATACCCATTTACACTAAAAAAAGTCATTTTAACATCACAAATCGAATATAGCACGAACGAAAAAATTTAATTGAAAAACCTATCGAATTCGTTAGAAAATTCTATTGAATTTCTATTGAACTGTTCTATTAGTTTTTGGCTGATTCTGTTGAAATGTTCAATAGAAAATATTCAGTAGAAAAAGTCAATAGAATTCAATTTTTCTATATTAACTTATTCTATTGAGATATTTTCTATAGAATTTCCTCGGCTCAAATTTTCCAAGTTTTGTCGTTTGCTTTTCTTGATGAGAAGAAAAGAAAAATAGAATTTAAAAAACTTAGAAAATTTGAATCGAGCAAATTCTATAGAAAATATACGAAAAGAATAAGTTACGTAAAAAAATCGAATTCTGTTGACTTTTTCTATTGAATGTTTTCTATTGAACATGTCAATAGAATCATCCAAAAACTAATAGAAAGTTAAATAGAAATTTAATAGAATTTTCTAACGAATTCGATAGGTTTTTCTATTAAATTTTTTCGTGCGTGAAAACACCGAGAATCCGATGACTGCTGGCTCTAATAGAAAAAAATTCTCTATGCAGATGAGCTGAACAAAAATATTCGATTAATTTTACAACGCGAATGGAATTTGTCAGATTGGCCGCGAAGCGAGGGAAAACCCTAAAGAGGAATCGGAAATTCAAGGAATCAACAGAATTCTTTATAGACTTCTGCAGTGATTGCGCTAGAATTTTCACTTGAATGTTTTCCTACGTAAGAAAGACCAAAAACCCGTAGGAAATGTTAACGCCGAGAGTAACACTCATCACTCCCCAGAATAATAATAATAAAGAAGTGTTCGCCAAGTAAAGCCCAATAGGGATTTTCATCATTGATAAATAATGCATAAGAACGTCTCTCCCCAGTGGTGAGAATTAAGATGTACCTAGTGACAGATTCGAGGCTGAATAAAACAAGGGTGAGGTCGACATCAAAAACAGAGAACGAAGAGAGACAGTGAAAACAGAGAAAAAAATCGAAAAAAAATGTGAAAGGTATGAGGACTCGGTAATTTTATTTCCACTTCATTCCTATTATAATGAATTCGGCATTAAGTGGACTGTTCGTGAAGGACTCAGTTGTCTCCACCCCTCGCCAAACAGACGGAAGAATAAATAAAAGTAAAAGTCGAGGTTGCCCTCGAAGTCAAGCCGAACCCTCCCCACAAAAGGTAAATTCATTTGTGGTTTAATCAGAGCTCTATGAAAATATCTTCGGTAACTCCCGGATTTCCTGTTTGAAGCACTTTTAATTACCTGATGGATTTTCCAGTATGTAATGCCAGGGGTGGGTTTGAATTCTCGAGGGGGTGAAACTCTGGTAGTTTAATCTTCCCGATGATCCGTACCAAGAGGATGAATATAGTGTATCTCACTGAGAAAGTTAACAAGTATGAAGACGAAGTATATGGAGAAGAGGAGAAAGCCGTAGGATCTCCTTGCTCTGAAGCCAACTGTATTCAGGTAGATGAGAGAGCTGACTAGTGTGCAGAGGAGGAAGGCTAAGCAGCCGGGCATCATATCGCTGGTTCTGATTTTCGTACGATAATCGGATTTACCGAGGGTTGAAATGGTCCATGTGAGACCAAGGCCAAGCAGTGTGTTGAACAGTGGTCCACCGAAGCAAGCGGAGTATCCCATGCGAGGAAAGCCACGACGTGCTATTGCCACATTTGCGATGAGATCTGGAAAAGGATACACTGTTAAAATTCAGGAGTGAAGTGGTAAACCGGTATAAGTCGATTTTGACTATTGCCCAGTTTTCAATGAATATCTCAAAATCTAAGAGAAATAGAAAAATTTTTGTCATAACCTCTTTTGTAGAGCAAATTGAGTGCTACAAAAAAGGAAGTGACAACAATTTCGCTATTTCCCTTAGATTCCCAGATATTTATTGAAAACTGGTCAACAGCCAAAATCGACTTATACCGGTTTACCACTTCGCTACTGAATTTTTGTCTGAATTTTCCGTGCCAAATTACGGATATTTTTATCGTGTTGCAACTCCATTGAAATTTCAGGAAATCTTGTCGTTACAAAATCAGAATGTCGTGGAAAAATTAAACAGAACTGTAAATTTACGTTCCATTTTTCCCTGAAAATGAACAGAAAACCAGAAAATTCTGGGAAATATATTCTTGAATTTTCAGGACAGCATCATCTGAATTGTCGATGTTGTGAGGTTGAATTCAATTTCAAATGAAAGCTTTCACTAAATTTCTCATGTATCTTGAAAATTCAACAAAATTGAGTTTTTCATGTTAAGGGTGTACTACAACTCTTTCAGCCACTATTCACGTTTTTTTTTATTTTTCTGGCAAATTATGGATCGGATTGACGCGAAGTAATATACCGTTTTTGCGGTTTATTATTGATTGACTCACGACGTTTCATGGTAGTACAATCATTTTCCTGCATTTTTTTTTAAGTTTTGTGAATTTCCGAAAAGTTTTAGAAAAAAGGCAGGAAAATGATTGCACGATCATGAAATTTCGTGAGCCATTGAGTAATGATAAAACGCAAAAACGGTATATTTTTTCACGTCAATCCGATCAACAATTTACCAGAAAAATTAAAAAAATGTGAATTTTGGTGAAAAGGGTGGAATACATCCTCAAAAAACAATTGATTTTTTGAAACCTTGAATTTCTAAACTCATGGGGAAAATTGAACATCATATACAACTCAACTTTAAAAACATTGAGAATTCAATTCATTGAGAATTCCCTTGAATTTTAGAGGAATTTCTTCGAAGTTCTCGAAATTCCAGGAATTCTAAAGGAATCCCCAGAAATTTCAGAGCAATCTCGAAATCACAGAGAGATTTTTCTGAATTTTTCGGATGTTTCATCAGTTTTTCCCGAATAATTGAGCTGAAATTTACAGTTCCCACGGATTTTTCCGGGAAATTATGAATTTTCCCTTATTACTATCAATTTATTATTTATATGAAAACATCAAGTACAGTTAGATTTTGCTCCTGAGAATACTTATTAGTGCATTAATTCTTCTGGTCATAAATTCTTTTGTTTATCCAACCGATTCCCTAGACTCTATTCATCGATTACTCTATTCCACAAAAAATTTCATTACAACATATTCGTTAGGGGGTTTGAGTTTATATACACCCCCCAGTAGGAACTCATGATCAAAGCAAGACCATTTAGCGTAATAATGCGATGTTGTCGCATGAGATCCCTCTGGACGATACAACGTTTTTCCTCCTCTTTGGGTTTTTAATTACTCCCTCATACTCCCCCTTCACATTAATGGTGCTTTTGTCATTGAGTTTATTTTTCATATTTCCTCTTTTACTCGAGGTTTTCGTTTTGTTTGTGATGGGGATGCACTTACCGCCCACGCTGTTACCCCAGGCTAGTAACGTTATTCCCAGCATGGCATCTGATATTCCACTGGCAAAACCGATGCACTGCAAAACCGCCATTACTTCATTGGCGATTACGTACACTACCAGCATGGCACTGAGAAAACCCAGAAACGCGAATGCCTGCAATTTATCAATCGGAGGAATAGATTCATCGGGGAATTGGAAAGTGGGTTTCAAGGGGATTATGTCGTTTCAATGGAAGCATTCTCGATCGCATTTCGAATTCTATGAAGATTAAACTTTCATTGATTATTAAATGTTCATGTATTTCAATAATTTCACTCGCCCAAAGCGAATATAATATAAATTTGGATGAAGAAGGGGATTAAGGGGTGAATTTTTAAATTGAGTTTTAAAATTTGCGGGCTATTGCGGTAAGATTTATCATGCATTGAAGATCGATTATATAGGTCTAAAAACGAATAATTGGTGCAAAAAAATTAATTGTTTATTGTTCGTTTGCCACGCAGATGCTTGAAGTGCTAAAAATAGGCCGGGGCCTCCAATTTTTAAGCTACAGAAGTTTTCTTCTTCAAAATTAAAAAAAAAACATATACAATAGTAATTACGAGGTAATTTTTTGAAATTCGATTCCTACACTGCTAGTTTCGTTTTTTTTTATTTAAAAAATTCCACCGTTCAGGTAAAATAGCTAGAAAAATGATTCTCAAAGTGTTTAAAATATATTCTCGATTCCTGCAGAAACATTTGTTAGGATATTTCCCATGAATGATGCAATTTTTATATTAAAAAAAAAAACATTAGCTGTGTAGGTGTCAAATTTGCGAGTTTACTTTCCGTTTCAGTCTTAAAAATTTTACATAATAAAATAAAATCTTTATTTATGTAGAAAAATAAAAATATGCCTTTAAGTTCATATTTAACCGACGTATGATAAAATGGAGAATGATAATGAATAATTGAATTTCATATGAAAATTGAAAGGACTGTTTGTGTCCCAAAACTAGTCATTCATATTTAGACAAATATAAACGATCTTCAATGTACGAAAAATCTCACTCCACTAACCCGCGTCTTTTAAAACTCACACTAGTCTCCCTAAATTGAAAAAGAAGCCCATTGAGTCCGACTCCCCCAATTCCCCATAAAAATAAAATTAAAATACTCACATCATGATACTTGGGGGTATCTCTCCCCGTCATAATAAAAACAATAATTCCCAGAATAGCGCCGAGAACAAAGAAAACGAGTACAACTGGCACCGGTCCAAAGCTGTCTCTCCAAACTGGTGATAAACAATGGGACGTATATATACAGTAAAATTGTTGAAAATATTATTTCAGAATGGCTGTTAAAATTTGAGTTCTGGCAATTTGTAGATATAATGAAACTTTACAGCTTCCATTCATCCATAGTTATGTACTTTACCGTTCAACTTGAATAGTACAGCAATTGGTGCTATGCAGAGTTGCAGGCAGTTTAGCAACTTTGACCATCCATGATTGATAGCTGTCTCATTGACCACAGGTACTAACAGTTGAAGAACAAGCATTGCCGGTGCACGTAGTGCCAATAGGGCTCGAACGAGAATACTTGACTTTTGCCAATCGTGAAGGTTTATGGGATTCAAGTCGTAGAGAAATTCATTGAAGAGACCCATGGGACGATGTGATTGGGACGAACCACTGGAACTTGTAAGATTATCGATCCCAATGGATTCACCTCTGGCTCTAGCACTCGCCATTTCAGCAGCTATTGCCACATCTGTTTACAATTGTTGGGTTATTCCATCAGCAAGTTGATAATAGCGATGGTGGAAGCTTGATTGGAGTTGGTCTCCGTGGAATTTATTAATTGATTTTCACCCAATTTCGCTTTGACGCTAAATGCGGTTGACCTCATTGGTAGATGCATTTCGGTGTCTGTTTCCTGGTAGGCCAAAAATGTTTTCAACATCTCGGGATCTCGTAAGCCAGGAATTCTCGCTTTAACCCAGCAATTCAAACCAAATGGTGAATCTCGGAGAGGTTTTCAATTGATGTGGCTAATGCGGTGAGGGCTACTATTCTTTTTGGAATTGTTGGCCAAGTTTTTACCTTTTCGTTTTTCCTCGCGATTGTCGTAGTACTGCATACCGACCACCGTTGCAATGAATAGTATGTAAATCCAGATAAAACCTGGAATGGAATTTTTTGTGGTCTCTGGTTTTTGGAGAATTAATGGGGCTTAGAGCGAGAGATTTGGGGGAAATGTGGGTGGGAGAAGTGTGCGGAAAGTGTATGCATGAAATATTAGCAATTAATTATGGGAGAAACGCTTACATCGTAATTACTAATCACCGTAATTAAATCGAGGAATTACACTCGATTTCAACTGAAAAGTACGAGACTGAGGCTTCACTGAAAAATCAAGTATTTCATTGATTTCCACATCATTTAAACAGAAAATCAACGGAATAATTGACTTTTCAATGACAAGATTCCCCGAAATTTCAGTGGAACTTGGCCACGATAAAAACTTTCGTAATTTGGCCCGGAAAATTCAGACGAAAATTTTCAACAGTGTACTTCGTAATGAATTTATCAACTCAACTGAGTCCTTCCCAAAGATGCACGGTCTCATCCTTGGTGATAAACGCGATCCAGCAAACAGCGCCAATGTAAAAAAGGCAGTCTCTCATGAACGGCTTCGGTGATATGGCAAACGGTGACACAATAGCCACAGATCCAGCAATAACAGCAGTGACAAAAATTCCAGCACCAATCAACTCTGTGAATATGATCACCATCTCTTTATCACCAGCTACCAGCGATGTAAATATATCCGGTGCTCCATTTCCAAACGCCAAAATCGTAACACCCGCTATGTTTTCCGATAGATGGAGAACATTTGCTATCACCGAGAGTGATGGACAAAAGCTGTCAAAATGAAATGATATGGATCGTTGCTTGGTGAATGTGAATAGCAGGGAGATTGTGAAATGTTGTCACTCCCTAAAAGTACATGAAAACTTTATGAAACAATTTGTGGGAGATACTGTCCGTGAAAATACACAACTTTGTTATAGTCTTGTTTTCTCCTTTTTACGAGCAACTGTGAAGAATTGCATGAGATATTTATCCAGGTGAAGTGTTCGAGTTTCCGTGAGATATTTTCCCAGTTATCACGGAAACTCGGAGCCCTCTTTATGGCCCTGAGTTATACTTGAAGCAAAAAAAAATGCAACATGGAAGGAAAACAGCGAAATGCAAACAAAATAAAAGAATCCAAATAACTTTTACATACAAGTTGTCAGCAACTGTTCCAAGTATTAGGAATAGGTAAAGCAGCCAGAGAAGAAATACAACAATTCCCAAGGCAAATAACGCGGGGTAGACCGTGGAAAATGTGCAGAAGAGTACAGTAGGATACGGAATCACGGAATCTGATTCACAATCGGGACTTCCCTTGACCCATTCACATCTATCTTCAGCTGCGATTTGCCACACATAGGAACAATCATCCTGTTTTCCAGGAGAAAAGAGGATTGAGGTTAAATGTCGATTCACTCTGATCTTGATCGATTGTCGGAATGGAATCTTCTCGTCGTTTTTTCACTCGTGAAATGTCATTACTCACCTCTCGTATTTGTAGACCGCCGTATTTTAGATCACCTTCCTTTGGCCAATTCATCTCGACCTGACCTAGGAACTAGTGGGGGTGAGCTTGGGAAGTGGCACATGATTACATTACGATGTGAAGTTTCAGTTGGTTTGAGGGGAATTTATCGATTGTTTCATTGTTAGAGGTTTCACATTTTTGTTGCACTGCAACGAATGCTGATTTTTTTTTCAATGGGATGAGGGGCGTAAAAAACTACCTCATTTTTTGGAATTTTTACTGCCGAATGGGAGCAATACATTCGTAAAATCCCAATTTTTTTAATTTTTTGTGTCCGAATAACTAATTGTAATGTTGGCTGTCAACATTGAGGTAATGTTGGCTGTCAGTGTTGAGGCAATGGTGACTGTCAACATTGAGGCAATGTTGGCTGTTAGTGCTGAGGCAATGTTGGCTGCCAACGTTCGGACAACATTGGGACAATATTAACCGCCAACGTTGATGCAGCATTGAATTCAATTCAAAATACATCTTCATAGAAATTTCATTCGGAAGCAAATAGCGAATTTATTAGCGAAAATATACAATATTGTGACGAAATCAATTTCCCACTTGTCCTATATTTCACACGGGAGATATGATTTTTTCGTGTTTTTCACATAAGAACCTTGGGGTTTTTAAATTGACATTCTTGTCTCCTCAAGTTATCTCCGTGAATCAGGTCGTGACATCACAATCTAGGAAGCCCCCTAGGTGTCTGCCAACTGTATTTGTGTTCAGTGTTTCTCATGTATAATCAACATTTAATCCTCTTCAATCTCTGATGATCAGCTCTTGTAAATGAAGCGCATTAACTCCGCGCATGAATAAATAGTGTTGAAATGAATGATTCATCACCTGACGAAACAATCTCACACTTCAAATTTTCTTGAATCACTGCATCACCCGCCCTTGCCATTGCTGCATCACTGAAGTGCTCCCAGAGGTTGCTACTCCCTGGAGTCCACACATTCAAGACACTGGGTTATCCCCCTTCCCTCGTCATCCCGGTCGTTGCCACCCACGGAGGTGCGACTGAACAGAACACTTGTCCACTCTCGTCCGCAAAGCAAACGAGAGGCTCATTAGTGCTCAAGTATCTGGCGCTCATCCATCCCCCCTGACTCTGCCGCTCACTGAAGAAGAAGCACTATTATGCAACTCGGAAATGAGGCAAGGACTGCCTCAAGCCGACTCTCCCGCCACGATAGTAACGAGAGAAATAAATAAACTGACGCAGCAAAATCGCTGTTCCTGAACTGAAAAGCTCCCCAGCTTAAAGACATTTTCTTGCCTCGAATTCATTTACTCTCCAGAGTATCTTCATCGGACTTATAAATTAACGGAAGCCGAATTGGTTGGGAAACTCATCGTAAATATCTTCCGGACGAGTGAACTTTGTATTGGGCAATCGTTCAATACCAAATGTAGGAGGAACTATTTCATTGAATAATGGGAGTGAGTTATGAATTTAAATCCTGACATTTTCTTTCACGCAAATATTATGAGGATAGTGGACTAGCGTTATAGTCGCACTCGTGGGGGAATAGGGGAAGCGGTTTCAGAGAATGGGCATGTATTTCGCTACCCCCACCACGCGCTCGCGCGAGACGAGATTTCTGAGAACTGGAGCCATAAAATAAAAATAGCAACGATTTAATTTTCTTTTTATTGTATTCAATGTTTCATTAAATAATTTGAATCATTACGTTAACATTTCAATACGCATTTAATGAACTTTCCTTTTTATAGTCAAACGATTTTTGCATCAAGAAACTTTTTTCATTATCAAAGTGGTTTTGGTCTCCTAGTTTTAGTTCAATCTTGCTGTTATTTCAATCTTGCTATTATGTAACGAGAGAAATAAATAAATCGACGCAGCAAAATCGCTGTTCCTGAACTGAGAAGCTCCCCAGCTTAAAGACATTTTCTTGCCTCGAATTCATTTACTCTGCAAAGTATCTTCATCGGACTTATAAATTAACGGAAGCCGAATTGGTTGGGAAACTCATCGTAAATATCTTCCGGACGAGTGAACTTTGTATTGGGCAATCGTTCAATACCAAATGTAGGAGGGACTATTTCATTGAATAATGGGAGTGAGTTATGAATTTAAATCCTGACATTTTCTTCCACCCAAATATTATGAGGATAGTGGACTAGCGTTATAGTCGCACTCGTGGGGGAATAGGGGAAGCGGTTTCAGAGAATGGGCATGTATTTCGCTACCCCCACCACGCGCTCGCGCGAGACGAGATTTCTGAGAACTGGAGCCATAAAATAAAAATAGCAACGATTTAATTTTCTTTTTATTGTATTCAATGTTTCATTAAATAATTTGAATCATTACGTTAACATTTCAATACGCATTTAATGAACTTTCCTTTTTATAGTCAAACGATTTTTGTATCAAGAAACTTTTTTCATTATCAAAGTGGTTTTGGTCTCCTAGTTTTAGTTCAATCTTGCTGTTATTTCAATCTTGCTATTATGTAACGAGAGAAATAAATAAATCGACGCAGCAAAATCGCTGTTCCTGAACTGAGAAGCTCCCCAGCTTAAAGACATTTTCTTGCCTCGAATTCATTTACTCTGCAAAGTATCTTCATCGGACTTATAAATTAACGGAAGCCGAATTGGTTGGGAAACTCATCGTAAATATCTTCCGGACGAGTGAACTTTGTATTGGGCAATCGTTCAATACCAAATGTAGGAGGGACTATTTCATTGAATAATGGGAGTGAGTTATGAATTTAAATCCTGACATTTTCTTCCACCCAAATATTATGAGGATAGTGGACTAGCGTTATAGTCGCACTCGTGGGGGAATAGGGGAAGCGGTTTCAGAGAATGGGCATGTATTTCGCTACCCCCACCACGCGCTCGCGCGAGACGAGATTTCTGAGAACTGGAGCCATAAAATAAAAATAGCAACGATTTAATTTTCTTTTTATTGTATTCAATGTTTCATTAAATAATTTGAATCATTACGTTAACATTTCAATACGCATTTAATGAACTTTCCTTTTTATAGTCAAACGATTTTTGTATCAAGAAACTTTTTTCATTATCAAAGTGGTTTTGGTCTCCTAGTTTTAGTTCAATCTTGCTGTTATTTCAATCTTGCTATTATGTAACGAGAAAAATAAATAAATCGACGCAGCAAAATCGCAGTTCCTGAACTGAAAAGCTCCCCAGCTTAAAGACATTTTCTTGCCTCGAATTCATTTACTCTCCAGAGTATCTTCATCGGACCGTGTGGTTGTGCCCACACGAAAAAATTTATATATTTAAAAATATATAAAAAAATATCCTACATTAGACTAATATATGTAAAAAAATATAGAAAACATATATTTTATATATTTCTCTTTATAAATTTGAAAAATACATGGAACCATATTATATATATTTTTTATATATTTTTTGATGGGCGTCTTCTTCTAGTTTTCATTGTAAAATTCACCCTAATTCTTTTTTTCACTTTTTTATTGGGAATCCTGCTGTTATTTTCTTTATTCTGATTCATTATCTAATTCAGCTTATCCGAACAAAGCTAGAACCGCTCTCCATGACAGTCTAGAGGGAACAGAATTTCATGATTGAAAATTGATATTTAAATTATTTTATTTTTCGGCTTTCCTTAAATTGAGAGACAATGATTCCTCGAAGATGATGTGGCAGTGTTCACTCCGGGGTCTCTGGACAGTAGAGTGGGGGAAGTGACCGAGCGACGAAAAATCAATAGGAGGGGAAATGCGACTGTAACGAGTGTAACTATAACGGGAGTTTACTGTACAGCGGTTTCCTGTTTTTCTTCGTACTTATTCACGGAATTATATTTCACCTTTATAAAGTACTGGGTACACCCAACTACCGTCACTTACATCCTGAAGACGTACAATGCAAGAATATGCAAAAGCTACATTTCTGTAAAGCGACTCTCTCTGTAATTAATACGAGTTGGTGGTAAAGGCCATTGTTTTCTACAGTAAGGGAACCTTTTGCGTCGCCAATGGAAATTTCTTTTGACTAACCAAATACCCTGTCGGGTTTCCTACTCCAAGAAGAAAATCTTTATGCAACTCTCCTGGAGCAAGAAGCAATTCTTCTTTCCACTGTTAAATGAAATTTAAATTTCGTGGCCAGTTTACACTGAGCAAAAAATTTCTAATGTTTGAAACATATTTACTTGAGACAAGTAATTTTTCTGCAATCGCTTAATTTTTCTAGCCATCGCTTCAAAATACAGCGAGAGAAATATTCAGTAAAAATTGCGGAACAATTCACGTAATCCGCAACGGGGAATCGTTTTTCGATCATTTTTGAAGGAATGAAAGAGAAGAAATCTGAAACGTTCAGCGAATTTTCTGGTTCATCACCGAACAAAGTACGAAATTGTCACGTACTTTTTCCCGAGGAAGTAAAATCTTCCAGAAACTTCCCGACTTATTAGGCCTCCCAAATCAAAAATTCTTGAACGTTCAACAATTTTTATGAAACTGATGAGTTATTTCTACGTTCCGTTCCGTGAAATTTCTCAATCGTTGGGGAAAAATTACGGAACGACTTGTTGTCCTCACAGCGGTGAGTCATCAGAGTGGTTAATCAGGGTGGTTAATTTTTACGGAACAAATCGTAGAATTTACGTGGTGATTCGTACAATTTACTCGTACAATTTGCTCGCGGGTTACGTTTCGAAACGTAATTTTTACGTTTTTTTTTTGCAATTTTTATTGAATTTTTCTCTTCGTGCATTCTTGTACTGAAGAATAATTTTGTCGCAAATCAACTCACTCAAATTATTCGGTAATTTTTCCTCAACAATTTAGAAATTGTACGGAACGGAACGCAGAAATAACTCACCAGCTTCCTAAAAATTGTTGAACGATCCAGAATTTTTGATTTTGGAGGCATAATAAGTCATGAAGTTTCTGTAAGATTTTACTTCTTCGGGAAAAATTACGTGACAATTTCGTACTTTGCTCAGTGATGAACCTGAAAATTCACTGAACGTTTCAGATTTCTTTTCTTCTATTTCTACAAAAAATGCCGGACAACGATTCTCCCTTGCGGATTAGGTGGATTGTTCCGTAATTGTCCCAGCGCAACAGTCACTTGATGAAAATTGTGAAGGAATATCCCAGAAATTTCAGCCAGAAATTTTTTAAACTGTACTGTATTCGAATTTATTTCCAGTGCTTCTACTGGAGATATCCACGAAATTGACTCATCATGACTGACCTCGAACTCGCATTTATATTTCCGTTGTCCAAGGCAACTGGGGGATTATTGATAACACATTTTATGAACGCAGAACACCAAGAATGAGTCTGGGGAAAGACCCACAGGGAAGTTATTAAATGCAGAAAACAAAACACAATATCATCTAAAGCGTCCTTGCCTCATATTGCTAGAATATTGAAAGAACCTCCGAGGGGGAGTTTCCAATTAATTTTCGAATTTCAATGCATTCCATACAATAAAGCTGCCCCCATCCATTCCTTCTACAACGATTGCATTTTTCGCAATAACCCCGGTGGGGACACATGCACACGACGGCTTTCATGCCGTACAAGCGCGAATTTTTCATTATTAAAAATCAGTGTCATGTAAAGGAATTCTTTGGTACGAATCATCACAATAAATTGAAAAAATTCCGACTTTTCCATGGTACACGTTCAGTAAACCTGTCCCACAAAAGAGGCTGCGGTGTAGAAATTTTTTTAACTCTGTGATTGTCATGACTCTGTGTTCACAGAAAAAATTGGGGTCTATAATACTCAATAATTGTTGTTGAACTTGAAGTTGTTGCATCGGAGCAATGGAATCCTGGAAAAAATAGACTGAGGGAAATCTTTAAGTTACACGGAAAAAAAATATCTGTATTCCGGAATACGGGATCGTATATTCTGGAGTCCGGGATAATATATCAGAATCCGGAATATTTTATCCGGTAGAGAGCTATTGTTGTAATTATTGCTATGAAACTATTGAGAATGAGATATCATTCATTATGTCTTCATGTCTTCATGTTGTTCATGTCTTAATTTCTTTAATTTTATTTATTCATTTATTAAATTGTCAACTTTTATTCATTTGTGCTGATTGCCCAGCGCTAGCCAGCATTGTTCCCTCGGGCAGTCTTTGCTCATTTCCTCGACTCCTACCACCCTAGTATAAATGTATTCTCTTATTTTCATTCTATTTTGCTTTAATTATATCTACATGCCCCCCCCCCCGCCCGCCAGTTTGGCTTATCGTCTACTTCCCGATATGTGGAGCAGTATAATTACAATAAACAAATGAAGAGTGAACAGTAAATCGTCTTGTTTGAAGGGGTAGGCATATATTTAATCAACATATGCCAAAATTCCAGCATTTATTTTGGCTTTTTCTAAAAATAAGTCACCCAAAACCGAAATTGTCACAGACACAGACAGACATGCTGTCAAAACCATGATTTCTCCACGTTTTCTAACATTCTACATCATTTCCGAGCAAAATTAGAAAATGTCAAAGTTGGCAGATACAAAGCTTCCATTTGGAAGCAAAAAACAATGTTTGATTGTATTAAAAAAAATATGCAATCATTTTCCGTGAAGATGATTCCTTAATCGTTGACCAAATTCCTATGATTCCCTCATAAGTGTGTGTAAACAAAGCGAAGTAGAAGTTCATAAATATCATGAGATAGCTGCCTGCATCCTGTTTAAATGATACAGCGGCTGTGAATTGTCTTGTATGGTAGGGAGTGAGGAGATAACTGAGTCAATGTGCCCAGTATAAGTTCTCACAACTATTCCGAACTTTCATTTGAAACAACATCGTGGTAAATTAAGGATTGGAAAACCAAAAGCTGTGATAATTCGGGCAATTTAATCATGCGATCTGTGACTTTGGTGATATCTGTGATTCTGCTTTATTCAGTGTTCGGCGTTACTCGGGGTGAATTGCAAGATTGGGATGGCTCATCGGTTTGCAAAGAATGGAAAAGGTAGTTCATTTATTCATATTCCATCGTAAATCATTATCTGCACTGATAGACTCATTCATTTATTCCTAACGAGATTCGTTAACTATTAACGAATGGTAGAGTTGAATGTGACCAAATGAATATTCGTTAATAGTTAACGAATGGTTCACTCGACAGGTGAAACTTCTCAAGCTTCAGTTCACTTCTCAAATGTGCATTTGTTAACTATTAACGAATGAACATTTGGTGAGACCAAGTAGACCCTCGTCTCCAATCAAATCCATTTGTTAACAATAACTAACCCTTTCTATCAGTGCGGTGCAGAAAGATGGAATTATCAAAGTCAAGTAACTGATGAGGATTATCAATTATTTAAATAAAAGTACGCCAAATTTGAAGATTTCGATTTTTGAGAATTCGAGAGGCTTCATGAAATCCTGAAAAATCCTCAAAGATCCAGAGTATTTCGAAGGATTGCGGAGAATTTAATGGAATTTCATGTTCCAAAAGGTTTCAAGGGAAATTTGAAAAATGTCATATTCCTTCAAGCAACTGGAGTAGAATTTCCGGATTTGAGAAAGTTTTTAGCAATGTCAACAGTTTCTCTGAGAAAGATACGGGCTAGATGTAGAGTGACGTACACTGTTAGAAATTGCTTGAAATTTCAGTCACAGCGTCATCTAAATTTTTAATGTTGTGAGGGTGAATTCAATTACAAATGAAAGCGCTCACTACCCTAGTAGAAATTGATCGAAATTCTGCGACATTGAGCCAAATAACACTGAACGTCGCGCGCCAACTCACGCCGCGATGTTTTTGCCCCGCGAAATTTCTGCTAGGGTAAATTTCTCATTCGTCTTGAAAATTCAAAAAATTTATTTTTCTTATGTCGAACAACCAATGATTTTTCAATGGAAGCTTGAATTTCCAAACTCATCGTGAATAATATATTGTGTTACTAGTGCGGAAAGTTTCACCTTTTCACACGCACGTGTAACACATCCTATTTTTAGGGGTACCTGCCGAGTTCACTTTTCGAAACGGTAGTGGGGGTAATGTGGTTGTTTTTGTGCACGAGTGCGTAAAGTTGAAGAGCATGCGTAAAGTGAATTTCGAGTGCGTAAAGCGAAGCTCCACACTCGAGTGAGTGAGGGTGATTTCGAGTGAGTTTCTGAGACTTCATGAGATGTCATTTAATATTTTATACGATTTCATGGCGTTCCCCGACATATCTAAAGATTTCAAGATTTTATAGATTCCCAAGGATTTCACTTGATATTTCATTAAATTTCAATACCATTTGTACACCAGATTTCATGACTGATTATCCTCTCGATTATTTTTATTCATAGTCGGAGAACATCGAGATACGTCCCCTACGTAGAAACGTACCGCAAACGAGTATTCTTCATCTGGCGAACGATGACCCGTTTGAACTACAAATGGGAGGTAATTAAGGGAGACCGGGGCAAAGCGGAGTGGCCGGGGCGTAGTGGGGTACATAAAAAAAGGCAAAAATTCAGAAATTCAAGTGGTTGACGAATAAAATGTCAAAAAAAAGTTTTAAAAACTCGAATTACACTCAAGAAAATTTTTTTTCAAATGGAAGAACTCTGGAAATTTTTTAAATTCTTTCAAACACCGGGATGAGCCGTCATATTGGATATTGTGATCAAAACCCTACCGATTTCAGAGTTTTTAGATCGTTTTTTGGAGATTCGGAGGCGAAAAGCAAAGAAACAACATTTATAATTATTTTAAAGTTTTTGGACACTACTCCACTGTGCCTCCAACTGTAATAGGGGAGGGTATGGCAAAACGGATCGGGAGGGCAAAATGGACCCCTAGGGCCAAACGGATCACTGACATAAAAATGGTAATTTTTGTTTTTTTTTCTTTCCTTCAAATCAGGAACACTGAATATATTGAATTAAAAGTGGGTTTTTTGGATGGTAACGGTGACAGGGGTTTTAAAGACAACAAGTGTCGTTGAACCGCATTTTGATCAGATTTTCTGATCATCTCAAACCACAAATGACCTCGAATTTGCTCCATTCGGAAGCAAAAAAAAATGATCAATTTTCTGTCAGTGGTCCGTTTTCCCCAAGGGGTCCGTTTTGCCCTACCCTCCCCTACGTTAGAGACACGAGTTGATAATTTTAGAATGTGAATAGCGATTGCTAAAAAGCAATATAAGTATGATAGAAGCTCTGACACTAGTGATGCCGCGAGACACTTTGCGAGACAAAACTTTGGAGAGATGATCTCCGTCTCAATGAACATCGAAATCCTTTTTCTCGTTTCAGTCTCGAAATACGCAGTATCTACTCCTCTCGCGATGACTCCGAGTGAAGTTATCTCATTTCGGTCTCAAGTTTTTCGTGTTTTTTAAAGTAAAATTTTAATTTTTGTCTCGGCTTGTCTCGTCTCGGTTTTTTACGTATAAAAAACGCGAAAAACTGGAAACCGAGGTGAGGTAAATAGACTCGGAGTCATCACGAGAGGAGTCGATACTGCGTTTTCGCAACACGGAGACGAGACCAAAAATTTCCGTGTTCACTGAGACCGAGATAATCCCTCCAAAATATTGTCTCGTGATGTCTTGTAAACTGTCTCGCGACATCACTATCTGATACCCTCCTTTTTGTCTTAGCTACCCCGCTTTGCCCCGGTCTCCCCTACACACTACAAATAATGTCTCCACCAAAAAATTGTAATTTTCTCCTCTATGATTCAGTGGCAAACAGAATGGTATACCTCCGTCGAGTGTTGCGGTGGCTACCACGAGGAGGACAATACCTGCAGGCCGACCTGCGACGGCGACTGCGGACATGGACTCTGCATAAGTCCCCAAAAATGTTCCTGTGATGTTGGATATCGAGTTCAGATGAGCTCCTCCGGTCAAACGTGTATTCCAGAATGTATTCATGGCTGCATCAACGGCATCTGCACAGCTCCGTCGATCTGCACTTGCGACGCTGGTTATGAACTGTCAAATGACCATTACACATGTATACCATCGTGCAAGCCAAGATGTGGGAAACACAGTCACTGTGTTACGACAAATAAGTGTGAGTGTATCGACGGATACGAATTGAAGAACATCACGGACAGGTACAGCGCAGGTTCTCCTGCAGTTAGTTGTGAGCCACTTTGCTCCCCTGATTGTGGAGCCTACAGCACCTGCATTGAGCCAGACGTGTGCCAATGCCAGGTGGGCTACGAGTCCCACTCTATCCATCTAATTGGAAACCCAGTTTCATCTTCAAGCGATTGTCAACCCGCTTGTGAGCCAACATGTGGTGAACACAGTGATTGTGTAGCACCAAATGTATGTGCATGCAAGGATGGTTATTCTCCCGTAGATGAAGACATGCATCATTGCGAGCCAGTCTGTATCCCATCTTGCGGAGAAAACGGCAGTTGCATTGAGCCCAACAAATGCCAGTGTAATAAAGGTTACAATATCGTACTTGAGAGAAACAATGACACCCTCGAAGTGACCTCCGTTAGGTGTGAGCCCATCTGTGATCCACCATGTGGAATCCGCGGAGATTGTATTGCTCCAGACACTTGCTCCTGCGAAGATGGTTGGGAGCTCACTTCAGCTCATAGTCTTGGTCCGAAGTACTGTTCACCGCATTGCAAGGTTCACTGCGGAATGCATGCTGTCTGCACAAAGCCAAATGTCTGTGAATGTATCCATGGTTTCGAAATGAGTGCCAATCGAACTTCTGACACAATCGATTGTCATCCCGTTTGTGATAAGCCCTGCATCCATGGAACCTGCCTTGCTCCAAACTTATGCATTTGCGATGATGGTTACAATATCGATACCGATGATTCCTTCAACTGCGAACCTGTTTGCGGCACATCAGGCTGCGTCAATGGTGTCTGTAAAGAACCAAACGCCTGCTCCTGTTTCAATGGATACCAACTCAGTTCTGATCCTCAACAATCTTACGTGTGCGAACCGATCTGCGATAAGTGTAACAACGGAACATGCTTTAAACCTGGTCTGTGTGTCTGCAATGACGGTTATGAAATGAGCAAAGATGCAGGATGTGTTCCAACTTGCTACGGCGGATGCAGAAATGGGACCTGTGTGGGTCCAAACAACTGCGTCTGCGATGCAGGCTTCAAGTTTATTGACAAAATTCCAGACGTGGTACTCGATCCGTCCATTCTGAGTTTGTGTGAGCCCATTTGCGAGGTGGAGTGTCAAAATGCCACCTGCACAGCGCCAAATACATGCACTTGTCTCACTGGATATCAGAAAAATGATCAAGGTGATTGCAGCCCAAATTGCGACGGTCGCTGCACGTTTGGTGATTGTGTGGCACCTAGCCAGTGTCGATGTAAGGATGGTTACATTGCGGTTGACGAAAGGGATGGTGAGTTTTGCCAGCCACACTGTGGTGATGGTTGCACTAATGGCAAATGCGAGTCTCCTGGTAACTGCAAGTGCGACGAGGGCTACGTCTTGGACATTTTCAATGCAACTCTCTGTCTTCCTGTCTGCGAACCTGACTGTGGTCATGGTGAATGTATTGCACCAAATGACTGCCAGTGTTACGAGGGTTTTATTAAGGAGAATGGAACAGATATAGAGGGCCAAGTGAGTACCTGTGTCAATGCTTGTGGTAGTGGCTGTGGAGATCATGGGATTTGCGACTTGGAAAACCGGACGTGTCACTGTTTTTACGGTTGGAGTGGTAAAAATTGTGGAACCGCGACATCCTGCGGGATTATCCTTCACGAGAATGATGTGGATTTACTCCGATGGTGAGAAACTCTCATGTTTTTATTTCGGTTTTTTCCTAAAAATCAAAGATTACGGGCGAAGCTTACTTCATTTAAGTTTTATGACCTAGCAATTCACTCGGGGGATATGAAAGGAGTGAAATAATTTATCGTGGAATCAAAGTAGATAGATGGAACGTATAGATACTGAGTATTGTACAAGTAATCTTTTGAAATCCTTGTGATTTAATGCACTATTTGATCTTGCAGGAGAGAATAGCCCATTGAAAATGAAATCTATTGAATTATTTATCTCCGCGTCTGGGTATTTTTATTGATGCTTAAATCAAATACCATTGATAATAGTCTGGAAAACTGATGGAAAATCCAATCGATATGGTTTTCCTTCATTTCTCAGTTCCTTGACACTGATTGTATTTCATTGAAACTGTTGGCTGAGGAAATGCTGATCTCCTATCCTTAATTCTTTTTTCCTTCAATCCTTCGGAAAAGAATAAATGAAGACGGCGTGGGGTATTTACGAGAGTCATAAAGCCATGCGGAGCGAATCGTGTGTAGTGTACTAGCTGTACTAAATCTGCTATAGAATCGATTCGCTTCTTCTGCAATAGTGCAGCCTCTCTCGCCTCCCTCCATCAGCTTCTCCTCTTTCTCTTCTCTATAAGACGACGACAATCCACCAAACCCCCGTGACTGGTGGACGATAAAATTATCCAGCGTCTCGCCTCGTTTCCGTAGGATTTCTGATAGGAATGAAACGAACGACACCAGGGGGAGTTTTGAGACCGTAAACTGGCACGGACCTAGATGCAGCGAAAAATGTGAACTGGAACCGAGCGACTCCACTAACGGCTGCTATCGTCTTTTATCGGATGATGAACGATATGGCAATGACACCAGGATCGTGTGTTTCATGAGCGCGAGTGAGTATTCTCTATCGGAAAATTGTTGGATTCATTAGGCTCTGAGGGTATTAGCTTCGCGGTATTCATTGATCTCCATTTATTTGCGCGGTTCGAGGTCAATTTGTTTTTCTAACAGTTTCATTACTTAAGGGTGCCAAGCGAATTTGAAAAAAGATTCAAAAAAATTTTTTTCTTTCCCTCCATCATTGGAGAAATATGTATTCATCCATCCGATGAAATTTCAAACCTGCAACCGGAACTAGACATCGAGAAAATAAATGCGGAAAATCATCTATTTCGCGTGACGAACCTCGAGAGAACATGGGATCAAATGGGTACGGCGGGTTGAAATATCTCTCTTATTCACCCCGGTACCCCATTGTTTTTGTCACCATCACATTGAACACATCATTCCCCATATTTTCAAATTTTTTCAAATTTTTCTTGAGTTCCTAGGGGGTTGAAACGTTCAATTTAATCAAAACTCCATGAGAGGCCGTATATAAGACTGATTTTGTTTATTTAATTTCTCTATATCCATAAGTTCTAAAATTTTAAAATTGTCACCGATGTTCACCATCTGTCTAATACTATTAATTAAAAAAATTATAACTTTGTTGGTGAATGTCAATTTACATCAGTACATCAATACCAAAAAACCGTGTGGACTTATTTTCACTCCTTCTGGTGTGTCCTCACAGTCGAAACTGACTCAGAATTTTTTACTGTGTAGCTAATATCCGTTTATACATCACCATCATCACAAAATTTCAATTATTTTCAGCTTTACCCTGCAACGCCGCAGATCTACATTCAGATAATCTCGTTTACTCTGGAATAGTCGGTACTATCGTCCTCATAATTGCAATTGCCGGTACGACTGGGGCGGTTTTACTGTTAGCAAAAAGACGCCGAAAACTGGATTGCAATGGTAAGTAGATTTTGGTTTAATGGTAACGAGGATTTTGGTGTTCTACGATTCCCTCAGAATGAATCACAGGACGGGGATTTTAACGAACTTGACGACGATGCGAAATGCTTTTGTCTCTCTACGTTCCTGTGTTTTCTAGCTATCCGGGATAATAGTGACAACCTGTTGGAACAATCAGACGCCACGGATTCGTTGATGCGCAGTGAAGAGTATTCTTACCTGTGAATTGAATAATTGAAGTGGATTTTTACGGTGATAGTTCTACGTCTGAGTTACTCAACGAAATTGGAGAGCAAACGACACTGAAATTATTTACAATCTGAGAGGAGTAACAGACTCGAGTATATTTATTTTAACTGCGGTATTATCCTTTGCATATGTATACCCTTTTCAATTTCTCAGCTGAGTTACATTGTATTTATTACGAAAAAATTCTTGTTTGAAAAATTGAATCAACTGAGTTACTTCAACCCTCCAAATTCCAATTTTTCAGAGCATTAAACTCCTTCCATTTGTTCAAATAGACTGAAGCCCTTATTTAAATAACGTAAGCCTATGCTAATACATTCGACACTTCTTTGGCGCTTCTACTTTTACCCACAAAATTATATGGGCTACCGACGGTGGATAAAACTCCACGGTCTTTGAGAAAATTAAACCGAGAGAGACAGAAGATGTAATTGGTCCCGCTTATTCTTTGCATTAATTAGTGGAGCGTGATAGCTAAAAGTTTTACAGGGCATACTACCAACCAATTCCCCAGTGAAAACGAGAGAGATGAATCGAGGCAACATGACTGGGCCAGCTGCCCTCACACCAGCATCGAGCCACTGGCACTTCTCGAAGAGAAGCTCTAGCCAGTAGGAAAAGTCGGATACCTGAAAGTGAGATAAGAAAACCTCTTCCCTTTATCTCGTCCGCGGTCTGAAGCCACCAAAGAGTCGTTTCATTTCTACGTTTATTTTATTTTTTCATTCTAGTTTTTCTTTTTCTCAATTTCTTTCATTTCTCTTCCACTACTTGTAATCCAAATCTTTCGTCTGATCCCCCTTCCTTGCATTCGTCTCGTCATAACAAAAAAATCTAAGGCCTAATGAGTATAATTATTGGAATTACTATACTCTTGAGGTTTTCACGGATCCTGTCTTTCCATTTTTACGTTTCGTAGTATTTATTATTGACAATGGTCTTCCGTTTTTTCTTAGTTTGAATGAAGGTTCTTTCCGAGGTGTTCCCGCCTGGTTATCGTTCCATTTACGGACCACGCGCAGCGCTGCTTAGCTTCCCAAAGCTTAGTCTGCCCACCAACGCAGCGCACTGGCTGCTCAGGGCTACTTTGAAATATCTAAGAGGTAAAAGCCTGATTATACAATCATGAATACTTGACGACTTCCAGACGATAGGATCGTTAATATTTTTCTGTCGTTAGAGAATCATTTAAAAAAATAGACACGAATGCGAAGGAACGTGAACGAGTTTTAGCCAATTAAAAACAAAATAATGATTCGAAGGGAAAGTTATTCATTGGACGGACAAGATCTCGTCTCAAAACTAAAACCAAATGATTCAAATACAAAGTCTCTCGCGAGTAACTCAAATACTCTAGCATGCGTCTGACACGGAAATGATCAGAGATTTTGCCCTTAGAAAATCAAAGATTAATTAGCCACCACGCTCACCAGAGCCCGGACGTGGAAAACAACTCGTAGACTCAAAGAACTCCCGGTTGCATGGCGATAACTCAGACGTCCCAATAAATCTCCCAAAATCCTAATGAATCAGAAAATCCAAAAATTACGCCGAAGTCCAAAAACGGCTTGATGGCTTCCCAAAACGGCGCCCGCTCTCATCACCAGAACAGAAGTGATTGCCCGAATTACTACAGGTATCAGCGCGGCCATTAATTGCACAGTAATAAATCTTATTGGTCCCCGCATTACGGCTATTAGAATTCAATTATCATTGGTCCCAGAAACTCACGCCTGCGCTCTATCTAAATTACGCCTGCGCCTTATCAAAATGGGTTGAATAATTACTCATTTCAACGAAAATAAATTACAAATTATTAATCTGATTATATCATCGACTCATAAATTAGCCTTTCGCCCTTCCGACTACATTCAATTAATTAAGTGATGTTAAATTATAATACAACGGCATCACCGGACCCAAATAGTGTTGTCTCTCTCTCTCTCTGACGTCCACTCGCATCTCATGTGTCCAAAATTCTGTCGCCTCAGCGCCATATCCTCACGGTCAATTACCAAAGCTTTACGTGACCCAGTGGATACCCCACATTCCATCAGTTTCTGCTGGAAAAATGACAGCGCCAAAAATCCCTCGATGCCCCTCGAAGTCCGCCGAAAAATGCATACAAAATGAGTCAATAAAATATAATCACTCTCAAAAATCGGTAGCGAAGCGGTAACGCGGTTCAAGTCGATTTTGACTATTGGCCTGTTTTCAATATGTATCTCGAAATCTAATGGAGATAGCAAAATTTTGTTCATAACCTTTTTTATAGCACTCAACTTTCTCTACAAAAAAGGTTATTACGAGCATTTCGCTATCTCCCTTAGATTCGAAGATATTCCTCAACAACTCAGCTGAGGACTCAATCGACTTGAACCGTTTTACCGCTTCGCTACTCAAATGACTCTCGTTGTTGGAAGGTTTGACTTCAAGTCTGGTGGCGACCAAATTAACAACAGAATAACCACGGGACGGTCTACATAATCCCATGAAATGATTTGTAACGAAAATAACACATTACAGTTGTATAGAAAAATAGAATTCTATAAACATTTTCAATAGAATTGGTTAGATTTTTTTATAAAAATTTTTTCGCAGCAAATGATTAAAATTAAGTAAAGATGATATACTTATAAGGTAACTGTAGTTGCAGCTCACTCAATGCTCACGTACTCAGCCGTAGAAAATTATCCTGTTGAAATGAAACTAAGATAAGTCCTTTTAATTATGAAAACAACGAATTATGACGGATAACAGGAACGAGAGACAAATGACAAACAAGGTTTATCAAAACCCGTCAGATGCATTGTTCTCCTGCGGCATGTTCAAAGGGGAAAAAATGAGAAACGACGAATGAGAGACGAGAGTGAAGAATGGAAATGTGTCAGGAACATTGAAGCACTGGTTTTCCGGTTGGATTGGGAGTTTGGGGAGAAAAAAAAATTCTAGGATCTCTTGGCACATGAATCTCTCTCTGACGAGGCCTCCGGCACTGTGGTGGCTGTGCCACAATACTTCTACGGGACCCCGTTGTGATGCTCATTAGAGTAACCCAAGCTCACCTCGTTAGCTAGAATGTTCGTTCGTGTTCACTCCCCTCTTTCACTCGGATTTTCACATGAAATGCTGGATTTTCCCCACTTTTCATCCCCTCCTTCTGTCTGGAATCTATTCGATCTCAATTCTACCGACATTCTGGGCTTCATACTGGGGTGGCCGCTCGTTTTCTCTGTCTCTTCAACCTATCCTCAAGTGACCAACCATGTTCATTATGGAAGTTTAGGGGTTGAGTGAAGAGTTTTAGTTTTCGCCAGTGATGAATTTGGTTTTGAAAACAACTTGTGGTTGGCACGTCACCATGGGAAGCATTTGAATTACAAAAAAATCGCAATGGGCTCGTGTAAATTATTCATGTTTTAATGTTGTTAGGCGCACGGAGAGAAATATTCAGTAAAAATTACGGAACTCACAATTCACTCACCGATTACGGAATTGATTCAGAAAATTTAAGTGACGGTATCGTATTTTTTCGCAGGAGATTCAGTTAAACATTACGGAACGCTCCGGAAAAATTCAGGCACAGTTCCGTAAAATTTCCTACCACCACATTTCGCTCCGGAATTACGGAAAATATACGTAATTTTTATTGAATATTTCTCTCCGTGTGGCCAGAGTTTTTTTCCCATTGGAAAATTTCCGGAAATTCTTGCATCGGCCAATTTTTCTCTTGCAAAATTTTCACCTCACTAATTTTTTTCATGTAGAATTTTCCCCTGGAGTTTTTTTCCCGCTGAAAAATTCCCGGAAATTTTGTCCTCGTCCATCGTTCCTCAGCGCATTCTTCCCTTTGAAATGAATTTTCCTCACAATTTTTTTCCATGCGGAATTTTGTTTGGAGTTTTTTTTTCAGAAAATGCTAATTTGATTTCATTATTTTTCTGACATGGGACAAAATGAAAAAATATTGGAAATGGTTGACTTAAGGCCCGGGTGGATTATCTTTCGAACGTGATCTTGGTTGTTTTTTTTATTTTGATAATCTGAAATGATTTCCAATTGCGATTCGGTTTAACATAGCCCTAGAGTCTCCAATAATTATGATTGTACAATCAAAAAAACGTTGAAAAAAAGCTGAACATTTTCAACGAGCGTTTAGGAATAATATTGGGAAATAAATCCAATAAGGAGGAAATTGCAAATTAATAATTTGATGTATCTAATGGCTGTTAGGTCGTCATTTGTTACAGTAGTCAATGGCTGTCAGATCCTTAGTTACCATGATGAATTATCCATTTACTATTTCCTCTCTATCGGACTTATTTCTTAATCTTTATTAAAAACGCTCGTTGAAAATGTGCAGTTTTTCTTTTCCTTTTTTTGATTGTACAATCATAATTGTAAGGGACTCCTGCGGGACGTAAAATCCAATGGAAATCGTGATATATTTTACATTATGAAGGCGGAAAAACAATCGAGAGTTCGAAAGATAACACACCCGGGCCTTAAAAGAAAAACTGGATTTGGATTGTAATTTTGTCTTGTTGTAATTGTTGTATTTGAAAATTCGAATCCTATTTTGACGAAAAGGTGTTTGTAAATTATTCACGATGTTCAGAAATTGTCTAATTTCTTCTCTCAGTGTGTTGTCTGAGGACGGACGCCAATGGCTGACTCGCACTACTGAAATTGGAAACAATTCTATTTTATTCATATTTGGACTTTATAAATAGATCATAATCAAGGTTTCGTGTAGAATTGAACTCACTTCTCATTTCCATCTACAACTTTCAATTATTCAAAATATATTATATATTTAATAATTATTACTTCAATTGTTACTACATTATTTCAATTTCTCCATGGAATTTTTTCCTCAAAATGTTCTCTATTCTACTAATTCCCAGCCTTTCAATATCAGTGAACACATAAATGAAAGTCTTCCCCAACTAGAAATGGAAATACTTTTAATCGAAATTAAAACATCCTCCCCAGAGACTATCATTTATATTAATACGTTCCTAAAGCCCCGGGATTTAATTAAAACTTTTATTTATGCATTGTGAATTATGATGAGGTTCAAATGAATATTACACCCACGTTGGACGATCCCCCAACGACCAGTTATCTGTTTACATTAAATCA